TTGGAAGTATGACTCAACAACCCTTCTCTGTGTATCTGGGTAATAACAATGGCATTGTGTCAAAACACCAGCGCTTTAATCCTATGTGGTACTTTTCTGCTAGAGGAATGTGTCAAATCCAGCCATTAGACCTACAGAAATGGAAGGGAACCACAGAAACCACAGCAACCTTTGTCTGCTGCATATATCCTCTGTATGTTTTGATGCAGCACTCTTCCCAGAAGTTACTTTTAAGAACGACAAGGCTTCTAATTAGTTTTTGGTATATTAAGGGTTTCCTGGCCCAGGTGCTAATTCAAATCAGTCCCTGGCCTGGCATGAGGACAGGTGGGTATTTACACACCTGCCCATCCCTGCGTTACGGACCCAGTACTGCCACACTTCCCTTACTTTATTGTCCCATTTACAGTACTGAAAAGATTTCCATTGTCACATCTAATATGGAAATGGGGTGCATGGCTGCACCCACATGGCCAGGCACTGTTTCAATGTCAGATATAGTAATGGGGTATTTTCAGTAGTGGCAAAGGGAGAGTAAGGTAAGGGGTGCGCAAAGACAAAGGAAACTCCATGGCAAACCATGTGTGTGTGTGTGTGTGTGTGTGTGTATGTGTTAATTTGACCCGCATTAAGCCCTGTTTATCCGAGAAACAGGTCAGATCCACCGGATCCATGTTGGGCATGTCCGATCTGCCAGTATCCAGCCTGATCCTGGCCCCAGGGTATTGGGCTGCATCATCCAACCAGAACAACATGAGGCTGGGAGAAACACACACCTTTGGGCCTGTGCAGACAGCCCCGGACAATACATTCATCAGAAAGAGCTGCAACTAGTCATTATTCCCCCAGTAGGTCTTTCTTGTGTGATATATCTATGTGCAAATTCTGACATAATTACAGTAATGCATTTAGACATACATGTTTAAAACATCTCCTACATTATGTTGGAAGCAAACATGAGTTTCAAGAGGAATTGGCAATATGAATTTGGATCTCCACATCTAAGCCAAACACATCAGAGTCTAGCTATTACACAACACCATAGTATGCATTATCACTTTATTTTCTGGACTGTAGTTACATTCTGGAGAGTACTGATTTCCTGCAGGGAAAAAACCAACAATATTATTTATGTATAATAGGAAAAAGAAACCTACACAACAATAAACATTATTTTAAAAAGTGAGAGAGACCTAGAAATCTCCCTAGAGGATGGGGTTTTGCAGGGTTCTTATCAGAATAATTTTCAGTTAAAGATGATAGCATTGCATTAAATTACGCATTGATGGGAAAGCTATCATGGGCAGCATGCCTTTGTGTATACCAGGAACACAAGTAGAAGGGTGCTATCACTTCCATGAAAGGTTTGTGGGCTTTCCTCAGGCATGTGTTCAGCCACTGTGGGAGCAGAATGTTAAATCAGAAAGACCTTTGTTTCGATCTAGCATGGCTCCTCTTAAATGCTCACTGTGTAATGGCCATGTGCTTAGTATATTCCATATTAAATGCTTCTGCAGTATTCCTGTAAATAAGATCCACTATGTTGCTACACTGAATTCAGTTCTATAACTGTATTTCCTATCTTCCAACTGTCCTGATTGAGCAGGGACACTTGTGATTAATCCTCTTTTGTCCCACTTTTACAGCTGCTTTTAAAAAGACCCAGTCTTCTCCTCCTCCCACTTCCCCACTTTGACCTCAGCTTACTTCAGTTGCTGCAAACCAAACCAAGTACAAAAGAAGTTTGCACTCAATTAGATCAGTAAGGGGGAGAGGAGAAGGGAGGAGGAATCTTTGTCCTTCCCAGTAAGCTCAAGCAAAAGCAAAACACTGCA